CCCTAAGTTTGTTTGACTTTGAAAAATGGGGTAAAATCAGACCATGCCAAATAAAAAGAAAAACATCTTAAGCTTTATTAAGACAAAAGTGATTACATCAGAAACCTTCTTTGGCTACATATTCGAGTTCATAAAAATAAGGAATATAATAAATAACAAGGTCATGAAACTTGTTCCAATTATGGTCAATGAACTTTTGTTCCTTCTTTATTCTATCTTCTCCAGGCTAGACTGCTGAAGTTGATATGCTCTTACTTGATAAAAAAGTTTTTCGGCCTTTATTTCGAATTATGTTTCTTTCAACCCTTGTTCTATCTCATCCATGTTCAAGTCATCCCAGTATGCTGAGTCTTTATTCTTGAAATCATTATATTCATCGATGAGGTTCTCTGCTTCATATTGGGTATGAACTTGACGGGTTGAGATTTGATCCAAAGATCGAGCGGTGGCCACAGAAATGTGGTGCCAATGAAGAAGCAATGGGAGTTGGTCTAAAAACATCTGGAGCTCTGCTTGGGCAATAGGGTTAAGGACATGACCCTGGGTCATAACATCACAAACCCATCGAAAGTTCTTGAGAGGAACATTGTCCTCGAGAACATTGAAGGGCAAGTGAGAAAAGGCCACAAGCAGAAGTTGGGCTTGCTGTCGTTGATATTTAATAGGAGGAGATGGAGGGTGATAGGAGGGGAGAAACTGGTCCTCAAAGAGAATAAGTCTTAGTTCCTCCATCCAGTGAGGGTTTTGCGAAAGAGGAGGCGCAGGAGCTTCCATCTCGAAAGAAAGAGGAAATTGGGAGTTGCTGACTATATCAAGCCAGTCAGAAGAGCAAAGTTTTGCCTTTTGAGCTAAGAATGACGGGTTGTACCCTTGGGCCTTTTCTGGACGATGAGTGGCTTGTACTTCTTCGTAGACATGAAAGACGTGTACCATGCTGCGAGTAAGTTGTCTTCTAAACGGCGTCGGCGGTCGATGAGTGCATATGGGTAAACCACCAAACTCTGAGTAAAGGGAGGGAAAGTTAGAGGATCAAAAAATTTGACAAAATGATGATTGATTCGTTCCCTTAACTTAGACTCCTCAGGTTCTGGCCAGCTTCTCTAACCAGAAGCCCCAGAAGAAGAAGAAGTTGCAGCCTCATCCCATGCAGAAGGTTTTGGGTTAGAAGAAGAGCTTCCAATATCCATGTTTGCAAAATTTTGGGTTAAAGAATTGTGGATAACAGGTTCGTAATCCAAAGGTTGATAGTTTGCAAAAGCTTCCATGACTTGAATATAGGAAGGTGGGTAAAGGTGGCTAATCAATGCATGGAGATTCTTTCGAGGATGAACAGCATTATCAAGCAACTCTTCATATGCTTGATCGAGGTAAGAAAAGGTCTGCTTGGCCATGAGAGCTAAACTAGTCTTTTCGAATACTGAAATAGTGGGAGTGTTCAAGGGTTAGAAGAGAATTTAATGCAAATGTTTCATTGATGAATGACGGTTGCATTTCTAAAAAATGCAAAGCCCATGCACGTTCTAAGACATGGGTAAAATACCTTGATCCACTAATATCACCAAGTATTGGGTATGTTAGTGCGGGAGGTAATGTTGGCTACATATTTTGTATAAGTTAATCACAGTTCGACACGTGGCAGGTTGAGGGCAATGCGGGGAGACAATTCAAATCTTCAATCGTAATCACACACGTGGCAGTCAATATTGGTTATTGTGGATCTGCATAACATTGGATCAGCAAAGAGATGCAAAATGACGTGGTTTCAATAGTTATTCATATTTAAATTCAAAATCAGGAGGGAAGCCTAACTGTAGATATGGCATAGTGGAGCTAACTATAAGGCAACATGATCAACGACCATGGAGGGGTGGTTCGACGGTTAGAAATGCAGTTCGACGGTTTGTCATTGAGAAGTATAAATAGCAGAGAAGGCCCCAGAAAGTACCCAGACTCAGATCCAAAAAATCAATTTTATCTACTTTATTTTCTTTCCAGTTTTTACATTTCTTGTTTTTTACGTTTCTGTACTTCAAATTCCTGCACTGCACTTCGTTCATAGGAGTAGTTTCAAGTAGTTTGTTACTGTAAACCTTTACGAGGCTGATTTGGATTTTTGTAAGTCTTTCATTTACTTAATGAAGTGTTACAATTGTTCTTCACATTAATCGTTGTTCGCTTAATTCTCCTAAACAAAGCCACCAGTAAAAGTCCTCTTCATTGAGGCTGAAAGAACTAAAACACAATCGTCTGATAATTGGTTGGCAATTAATATTCTGTAGGGACTGATTGATCCTTGCTGGTACGCTCAAAATTACAATAATAACCTTTGAAAGCCAAAAAGCCAACAGTATAATAAAAAACGAGAGTTAATAGAAAATATTTTTCAAAGTCAATGGAAAACCAACCTATTTCGGTAGAAAATGTTTTCTACTTTTAAAAGGTAAAAAACAACTTATGGACTAAAATTTTACTAATGTCACCACACTACGATCACTATGATCACCACCACCATCACTATTGCCATCATTACTGTCCTCACCCCACTACCATGCCACTACTTCTACCTCCACTATTATTCCACCATCACCACCAAACATAGATAAATGTTTTCTCCATAAAATATTTTATGGAAAAAGTTTTTCATAGAAATTTTTTTCCATTAGAAAATGTTTTCCATTCAAACAAATGAGTGTAAGTTAAAATAAGTAAAAGCCAAATAACAAAATACAAAAAGCCAAAGATTTCTTCTTGTTCTTTTTACTTTTTGCAAGTTTTTCCATAAAAAAGTCAAAAATCATTTCTAAATATTTTAATTATTTTTCACCTCATATTTCACCCAAAGAGTTAGAAACTTTAGAGACCTTGAGGGATTTATGGGGCCCACCATAAGTCTTATTTTAATGATTCAAATCGTTCATTTTGTAAGGCATTCAGTGTATATTATCAATGAAAAAAATTAAATCGATCCAATAATCATAACATTTTCCACTTATCGTGTTTCTCTTAGAAAAAATAGATGACAATTATGTTTTTTAAAATAAACATCAATTTTTTAGACAAATATGATTATCGCATCAACTTAATTTTTTTTATAAATAATATATACTAAGGGTCTTATAAAATAAATGTATTATTAAAATGGAACTCAGGGTAAGAATGATAATTTGTAATAAAAGTCTAAATGTAAAAAGAAAAAAGAAAAATAATTTTTTTGATAAGGAAATAAAGGCCTCATTTGATAATTGACCTTTTTAGTAATTTTTTTGTGGAAGTAAAAAAAGGTTAATATATTTATAAATGCTTTTTTAATTATATCAAAAATTATAAATTATTGAGATATTTGTTAATTTTTTAATAATATTTTAATTTTTCAAAATTTCTATTTGACTTTTTTAATTAAACTGCTAAATTATTAAATAGGTGGAAGTGTTTCAAATATATATATTTTTTATATTAGAGATAGGCACCTCTCCAATTTGGACTGAAGAGCAGTGTTAGGCCATAATAGACCGTGTTTCGGGCTCATTTTAATTATTTAAATCGTTCAATATGTAAAACTTGTCGAATATATTATTATGTAAAAATTATGTTGATAGGATATCAATAGTAATGTAATCACATCACATTTGTATCAATGACAAGTATAATTTTTAAAATAAATTATTGATAAAATGTGATATAATCAAGTGACTACCAATATTCAATTAACTTAATTTTTTATAAAAATGATATAATCAACATATTCTATACATTAAACAGTTTAAAACGTCAACACAAATTGAAATCAATGCCCATCATAACCCAACGCCAACCTCTCGTAACTACATACTGGAGAGGGACATGTTCCTTTTTATTATGTGTTAAGAGCGATATTTACCCATTTGAAAAAGAGGAATTACAATAAATTGGATTTTTTAAAATATTTTTAAAAAGCAAACTATTTATTCAAGTAATCAAAATTTTATATTATTTATGAAATTAACTTATTTTTTAAAAAACATAAATTCAAATATGATTTTATGATGAAATTGCATTGGCATGATCCACTAGCATGTAAAAGCTAGCCATGTTAACAAAAAATTGCATGTTCAATATGCGTTTTCACCATAAAATCTAATCTTGAATTTGCCATTTAAAAAGTCAATTAATTTGATAAATAGTTTGAAAAGTTGATTATTTTCATAAATAATTTAACTTTTTAAAATATTCACAAAAAAATTAGATAAATTACACTAACACCCATTAAAATTTGCTTTTAATATAAATCCTCTCCTCACGTTCTGCAAATGACACTGCACCCTCTATCAGATCTGTCTCTTAACAAAACTAAACAAAAAATATATAATGACCTTAATGCCATTCAATGAAATTATAAAAATACCATATTATTCTCTTTCCTTTCTAAGCTTCTCTCACTAATACAAACATCATCTCCTGCATCAACCATCACATACATGCCACCAACCTTTACCATAATGATTCACACTCATCGTCTCTCACCCGTCAATACTCATAGACAAATTATTAAACTTATTACCTTCACCAGGGGCTGGCCCTGAGATTTAGGAGGCCTAAGGCGAATTTCGGAAATGGGGGCCCCTCTTACATTGAAAAAAAAAATTTATGAATAAAACGATAAGTTACAACTTTTTTATTTGTTTGTAGCTACGAAAAAAATTACTTACACATATAATCATTAAAATTATAAACAAAACAATTTAATGAAACAAAATTAGGGCAAAAGAATTAGGAAAAAATTATTCAATTAAAACTAATAAAGACTTAGGTAAAAAAATTAGGGCAAAATTATTTATTCCACTAAAATCTAATAGATAAAGAAGGTAAAAAAAAAAAAATAGGGCCCATATATTGTATGTATTGTTCTTCTTGGGCCCAAACACTTTTTTTTTAAATATATATTTTCATTTTAATAAATATGGATCAAACTACACTTATAAATAAATATGGGTTAAACCATACATAGACCAAATAAAATATTTTGGGACCCTTTAAATTGATCCTAAAACCAAAATAAAAATAAAAATATTGGGCCTAGAACATTTTACCAAATTTGGGGGCCTTATTTTTTAGCCAAAATTTTGGGGCCTAAGGCACAGGCCTTACTGGCCTTAGGCCAGGGCCGGCCCCAATCCTTCCACCTGAGTGCATCGACCTCCACTCATCATCACACTCAGACCTCCCTTGTCAACTAAGTGGTCCTCTACCTGAGCATGCTTCTCCGTTGATCCTTTCTCCATTGGCCAGTTGTTGTAACTCTTACAACAACCTTGGTTGGGAGGAAGCCCTAGGGACCCTTCAGAGCTAGTGTTGCAGTCATTGGGGTGTCCAAGCACTGTTGTGGGTACCTCATGCAAGTGCTGAGTATTTGTCGAGGCACTTGTCTCACTCCACCTATACACCTGTCAAAACAAGACAATGATATAGGTCTAGCTTGGCAGAGTAGCCACCTGTTCTTCTCACTCAGGCACATGCCCTTGGCACACCATGGTAAACTGGCCTCTATGGCCTAACCCCTTTATAAATAGTGAGCCTCCTCTACCTTAGTCTCCAAGCAATCAACCCCTTTGGCTTAGAGATTTTGGTTCTCCAACACCAGGCCTATATTGTTGCCTTTCTCTCTCTCAAGACCACCTCAATTATCACCTAGCCCACCTCCAATTGTCCAGTGTCATCTCAATGCCCATCATACGGCATAAGGCTTCTTCGAGTAGCCACCCACCATCTACCATCAACATCCTTGAGAGATGTCGATATGATCTTTTCCTTGTTTTTTTTCCTCCATTTTTAGTGGGGATGGGATGCCAGGATTGGGGTAGTGATTTAATGCAAGTTGAAGTTACTGAAAGAGATCAATGCTTGTTAAGTTGAGTGGCGAAAGACATGTTGGCATGGTTCTAAACCCTAACTTTCTCCCTCCCTGCCCCCAAAATAGAGACACTTACGAGTGTAGTAGAACTCTTTCAAAGCGAGGGCTGTTAACATTTATTTCTTCTTTTCTTATATCAGAGTTCTTGTGGAACAACTGGAAAGGGTGAATGTGGCTCAGATGGAAACCAATGCCAAGATTGCATTTTGGATCAACACGTACAATTCTCTTGTCATGCATGTAAAGATCACTAACTGGTAAATAGTTTGCTTTCTCTATTTATACTCAAATGATTTTAATCTCTTCACTCTGACTCATGCAGGCATATTTAGCATACGGTATAACCCATGGCTTTTTGAGAAGGTTAGCTTTGTTTCACAAGGTAGTGCACTTCTTCTTTCAGTATCCATTTGGAAATTCATTTCTTTGACATATCAGACTTCTATATTTACACACACGCAGACATATATATATATTAGTGCCATGGGTGAAAAGATTTTTTTTCATGAATTGAGAGAGAGAGAGAGAGAGAGAGAGAGAGAGAGAGAGAAGGTTTGAACAAATTTACTCATATCTAATCAAATAAATTTTGGTACGAGTTCCTCTTCCTTTTTTTTTTCTTTTTTTGTTGCAGTTGCGTTTGGTTGACTCCTCATGTAGAATGTCTTTTGCTGTTATTTTCTTTGGAGTCCTCATCATTTATTATGTACTTTCATTTTCTGGTTCCTGGGGAAAAAGAACGAAAGAAAATGAAAATAAAAAAGTCTGTTGTACTTCTCAGTTTTATCAAGTTTCTATGTCAAACCCTATTCTTCCTGCCTCATAAGCCATGAAATGGACAACATTTATTGGAGGACAGCTTCCAAGAATAGGTGGGTTTTGATATAGAACTTGTAGTGTAATTTAGGACCACATGGACTCTGCTTGTGAAGACAAAAGAATTCATTCGAAATGGTTCAATGGGCTATGAATTATCATCCAAGTTTTGTCCATCCTTGTGTTTACTTTTTTTCTATGTTACTATCTGAAAAATTGATGGGTTTCTTTTGTATAGTGCAGGCTGCTTACAGCATCAATGGCCACATTGTGAGTGCAAATACCATGGAGGAGTCAATATTCTGCTTCTGTACACCTCGAGTTGGACGGGTACTATCTTGCTCCCTTTGAAGTAGATATAGATATGGTGGCAGTTCTTGGATGTTGGTTAGTCCTCACCTACGAAAAACTAATTAGGTTGAATGGCCATAATTACCTCCCATACACTGATTTGTACACCAGCTAGCTTATAGATTGTTTTATCCATGTCCTGAACCATTTAGCATTTTTATGATTACGCTATGGCCATGAAATGTGAACCTCATGTATTTTAGCTATAATATTTTATCTTATTTTCTTTCCGTTTTCCTCTTTGTGTTTTATATCTGTTTTTTGAATGAATTACAGTGGTTTGAGATCATCCTGTCAACTGCCATGAGGAAAAGATTCGGAGAAGAAAGACAAGTCATCAGCTCGAAATTTAGTTTTCCAAATTCGCCATCCCTTGTTTGCTTCGCTCTTTGCACTGGAGCTTTCTCTGATCCTGTGGTAAGTCCTTGCTTCCATTACGTTTTCCTTTTATTTTCATATCATATTATAGCTAAAATATATTATGAGTTTAAAACTAATCCTTGTCAGCCAGTATCAGTTAGTCCAGGTATGACTGATGCTTTCCATTTCAGTATTAATACAGATGGATTCAATGTATACCCATTTGTCCCAATTCACATTAGTTGACAACTTCAGATCTCATATACCTTATTGCAGTTTCTAATTAATGGGATCTGAATTTGACATTTGTTGAGCAAGTTGTTTATAGTGATTCTGATCATATTTCCTTCACATTGATCTCTAGAATGACTTTTAATCAGTGACAAAGCTATGATTGGGGCCATTCAACAATTCATCACTAATAAGTTTTAAGTGTATGAAATATGCAAGAGCACACTTTTCTTTTCCATATACACTAGAGTGGAATTTTTTTATTTTTTTTTATTTTTATAATAACCAAGAAGTTAGTAAAGCAAGGACCTCAAAAAATTAACCTATTGCAGAATTTCTAATGATTAATTTCACACAAATATAGCAACATTATTGTATAGTAAAAGCCTTGTTAAATTGATAGTAAATATGAACAAACAATTGAAAGTAAAATCCCATACTCCAAATCAATCTAGTTGTAATAAAGATGCAGGTAGAAATGAAGGTGAAAGCATGACGATTAGTGCTTTTTGCCAGTATTGCGTTTCAACTTCTAACTTGGATTTTCCTTTTTTCCCCTTCACACGGGCAGACTTTTTCTGCTTCTTTAAATGATTTAACTATCTCATCTCACTATTAAATCTAAATATAATCCTTCAAATTCACACAAATGTTAAAACAGTTGATGAAATCTATTGTTGATTGAATTTTTGTAGCTAAAAGTCTACACAGCATCAAATGTTAGAGAGGAACTCGAAGCAGCAAAAAGGGATTTTCTTCAAGCAAATGTTGTTGTTAAGAAGTCAAAGAAAGTGTTTCTTCCAAAGTTGCTTGAAAGATTTGCAAAGGAAGCCTCTATCGCCTCGGATGATCTTATCAATTGGGTTGCTGAAAATGTTGATAAGAAGCTTCATGATTTGATACAGAAATGCATCGATTGCAGAACGTACAGAAAGGCGTCGCAGGTCATAGAGTGGTTACCTTACAATATGAGGTTCAGGTATGTGTTTTCTAAGGATTTGACTGAGAATCCATGGTGGGTATAACTTTTTTTTCTTCTCAATTCTTGGGATGAAATTTACCTTGTCATTTGCCCTTACTGTTGCTTGACTAAATGAGCTAAAAATTCATGTCCATATACTTCAAAGTGCAAGTGATTTACTCATTGTACATTTGATTGTTTAGATCATGCTGTTTTCAGATGCAATTCTGTGGGATCCTGTGATCTGAAATTACTTCTGTGGATGGGCTTTAATTGAATCAGCTATTGTCTATTGCATATAGGATCAAAGGATAATAGTTACTTGGGTTGAAAATTTTTGGTAGGGAATCCAACATGATGCAATAAAATTACTGTTGTATCTCCTTTTGTGGTGACAACAAAACGAAATATAACCCAAAATACAAGAGCCAAAGTAATGCTTTGAGAATTTTTTTAAAATATTTTATTTTAATAATCGAGATTGATTTTAGGCAGACACTTTGAACTTCTTTTAGAATTGCGAACTCAGATATGAACGATTACCCTCTTATCTTATATATTGTGCAAAGTGGAATATGAGGATTTAAACATAAAATCTCATGGATTCAAACAATTTACCATCTTAAAGTGATTAATATTTGAGATGTGGTTGTAAGATTTCTAAACAACCTGTATATTAGATTGAATTAATTTGAACAAAGAATACATACATCATTTATATAGAGTACCACTAATCCTAACCCTACATGAATACATTACTGAGATATATAGAAGTCTAATAAACATAGGACACTGATTCCTAATCTGAGGAGAACACATATTCTCACACCCCCGCTCAAACTCAAGGTGTTTTAGCAGAAAACACGGAGAGTTTGTCAAGAAAAAACTGAAACCGAGCAGTGGTGTGAGTCTTAGTGAAGAAGTCAGCAAGTTGCAGAGCCGAAGAGACAAAAGGAAGCGAGATAAAGCCAGACTGCAGATGCTGACGGACGAAGTGACAATCAATCTCAATATGTTTTGTCCGTTCATGGAAGACAGTATTATGAGCAATTTGAATAGCACTTCGGTTGTCACAATAGAGAGAGGTTGGGGAAGATTGAGGGACGCCCAACTCAGATAAGAGCTGACGAAGCCAGACAATTTCAGCAGTAGCATGAGCCATAGCACGATACTCAGCTTCGGCAGTAGAACGGGCAACAACAGTCTGTTTCTTGCTTTTCCAAGAAATTAGGGAATCACCAAGAAACATACAGAAACCAGAAGTAGATTTACGATCATTAACATCACCAGCCCAATCAGCATCAGCATAAGCCACCAAGTCTAAGGAAGAAGTAGAAGAGAACAGCAAGCCCTGAAAGATAGTACTGCGAAGATAACGAAGAATCCGAAGCAAAGCAGCCCAATGTGTAGAGCGAGGGGCAGAAACAAACTGACTAATCACATGGACAGCATAGGCAAGATCAGAACGAGTAACTATCAGATAGACTAAGCAACCCACAAGCTCGCGATACAACGTAGGATCATCTAGAGGAACCCCATCAGTAGTGTTGAGCTTTACATTAAGTTCAATGGGGGTATCAGACGTTTTTCTCTCTCCTCTTTCACAAAACAACCCTTCTGTTTCTTGGATCATTCACCTCCCATTCTTCATCTCCTCTTTCCGTGTTCTTGCCATTCATGTTCTTCCTTTACTTTTGAGAACTAATTTTGCTGCCACTTTCCCATCATCAGATCCCACTTCTTCCACCTGGTAAGTAGACTCACTTTGCTTCCTTTATTTTGCTTTCGCATCTGTATATCTTGTTTTGTATGTCTTTTGCAAACATTTTCTTTCATTTTTGACGCTTCGCTTTTGTACTTTCACGAATAAACAATAGCAGAGCTTATATATGCATGAACTTCTGTAAAAAACTTGCCTTAGATCCAAAACTAGGTAGCAACCGAACTAGGATCCTGTTTGCCCCAAATAGGTAGATCACTATAATCAATAACCGAACTTGAACTTGAAAGTTTCAAAGGGTTACCAGAGCCTGACTCACTTTAGCCGAAATAAAATCACTGAGTTTTGAATATATCAAACTAGGAACTTAGGTTTTCAAAACTCGGTGATTTTATTTCGGCTAAAGTGAGTCAGGCTCTGGTAACCCTTTGAAACTTTCAAGTTCAAGTTCGGTTATTGATTATAGTGATCTACCTATTTGGGGCAAACAGGATCCTAGTTCGGTTGCTACCTAGTTTTGGATCTAAGGCAAGTTTTTTACAGAAGTTCATGCATATATAAGCTCTGCTATTGTTTATTCGTGAAAGTACAAAAGCGAAGCGTCAAAAATGAAAGAAAATGTTTGCAAAAGACATACAAAACAAGATATACAGATGCGAAAGCAAAATAAAGGAAGCAAAGTGAGTCTACTTACCAGATGGAAGAAGTGGGATCTGATGATGGGAAAGTGGCAGCAAAATCAGTTCTCAAAAGTAAAGGAAGAACATGAACGGCAAGAACACGGAAAGAGGAGATGAAGAATGGGAGGTGAATGATCCAAGAAACAGAAGGGTTGTTTTGTGAAAGAGGAGAGAGAAAAACGCGGCAAAAAGGGGCGGGACTGTTCAAAAAGTTCGAAGTACGAAGGCGGCGTGATGACAGCTCACGGCCTATTAGAGCCCGCCACGTGGCAAAGGAAAGGGAAGCGTTACAGTCGCGATTGAAGAGACATTTTGACCGGATAAAACAGAGTTCGGAGTAAAACTAGCTCGGCTGGATACACTGAAGGGTTTTTATCTCGGCTGGAAAGGCTTGTAGAACTTCAGCTCGGTTGAAGGATTTGTAATCTCAATCATGCTATGCAGATGAAATTAAGGGGCAATTGAGAGGGTAATTTTTGGGAAAGAATTGGGCCGAGCTGTGAGTTGGGCCCTGCGGCCCAAAGTGTGAAGGAATCGGTAAGAAGCCGTAATGTTATTTCGGCCCAGTAGAGGTATAGGTACTCCGGCCCAGGAGAAGTGAAGTTATTCCGGCCCAGGAGGGGTGTGGTTACTCCGGTTCAAGATGGTATAAAGCTACTCCGGTCTGAAGGTAACTTGATGTTAGTCCGGTCTCACAGTTAATCCGGTTGCGGTGTATTATTGTTAGATCGGTCGGAGCTTGCTACTCAGCATACCATGGTTGAACGGGAGAAAACCGAACTAAGGATAGTTCGGCCTACTCTGTGGCTCAGCATAGCCAGTGTTATTTCGGTCACATAGAAGTTCGGCCGTGGTAAAAACCATCCCACTTGGTTTAAGCAGTGGGGGAGGGTGTAAAAGGATAAGCATTATCCTTAGGAATATGAATCCTAGGAGGACTCTGCATGGAGAAATAAAAGTCCTACTAGGATTATGCCACTCGAAACCTATAAAGGCTCACAAGCACCACCTTGGAGGAGGTAATTGAACACAATTCTTTCTGAGAGCATAAAACTTTGTCTATTTGCCAAAAGCTTACTGACTTAGGCATCGGAGAGGTTTCCGGCACACACCCGCCGGCTAGCTCACGTTTGTGTTTTTAGGTGATAAAGCGACGTCGTACGGAGGAGCGTGGACTTGGTCAACAGGATTATACGAGGAGAATTATTTCCTCCCCGTACATAACCCAAAACACAAGAGCCAAAGTAATGCTTTGAGAATTTTTTTTAAATATTTTATTTTAATAGTCGAGAATTGATTTTAGGTAGACACTTTGAACTTCTTTTAGGATTGCGAACTCAGATATGGACGATTACCCTCTTATCTTATATATTGTGCAAAGTGGAATATGAGGATTCAAACAATTTACCGTCTTAAAGTGATTAATATTTGACATGTGGTGTCAAACATTAACGCTTTAACGGATGTGGTAAAGTTAAAATAACATCATGTTCTTGAGGTAAATTGAGAGAAATCAAAGAATAATGATTATATAAATAGTATATTTGTACATAATTTTGAGACAAAACAATTAATTTAAAAATTTTCATGGTCGCATCATTTTTGATGAGTTTTTTGTATGAAAATTTTATTTGTAAATTAATTTTTGAAATAAAAATGACTATTTTCATAATAAACACTAAAAACCATTTGGGCCTTTTTTAAATTAGATCATAGCTTATGGCTTCGGAAAAAAAATAAAAATAAAATGAAAGCCGACAAGAGTGTTTGGTAACATAAAAGGCAAACTTTTGAAAGCAATTGGCAACCGAAGCTAAAAGGTCAGTTGAGTTAAATTTTAACCAAAAATTTTGGCATGAGTTCTAATCTTAAAAAAAGTTGCTTCTCTTAAAAGTGCTACATTTCTAACCTGTAACACGTTCAATCCAACCTCGGATTTTTTTATTAGAAATTTATTCAAAAAATATGCATCATTCATTAATTTTCTAAGATTTAGGTCCCATCATTCGAGAATTGAATATGCATCATCTATTAATTTTCTAAGTAAATTTGGAGCTTAAATTTTTGATTTTTAACTTTTACAGTTGCCCTAATTTAACACCAGTGCGGATTGTTAGAGCATTTTGTTGCATAGAGCTGTAAAATAAATATAATTATTTTAACTCGTTAAAATTTATTTGAAATCAGTTTATCATGCAAATATGGTAAACTTCAAGTTATTACACTAGGTATATCTAGTCCTCCCAACAGTATCGGAAGTGATATATTGACTTTGTTTAACAACTGTTAAAAAGTCACATTTTTTTTTTTTTATTTTTAACAACTGTTAAAAAGTCACATTTTTTTTTTTTTATTTTTTATATTTTTTTTCTAAATTTCTATTAAATTTTTCTACTTTTCTTATTCATATGCTCTATGAGGATTTAAAAAAAGTAAAAGCTTTTGAAATAAAAAAATATAAAAATATAAAACCCATAAAAATCAACATTTTCTTTTTTTTTTAGTGGACTTCTTACAATTTTTTTTTTCTTCCATTGATATAAATCTTTTAGGGAGGGAAGGTCCTACTATGCGTTTGTTTGGACGGACTGGATAAGGGGAGATTGACACATTGTCCCGGGACTATTTGGTTAGACTAAATTTGTATCCTGTGTTTGTTTAGTCATGGGATTAGATGTCTGGATTAGATTTTTTTTAGTTATCCAATATTTGTTTGGGATATTATGGAGAAGGATAAATGCTCAAATGCCTATTTTATCATTTTCAATTATTTACTAAGTAATAGCAATATTAAACATAGTTTTAAT